TTTTTGTGATGTTCACCGGAGTATTTCTCCGCACAATGTTACACTGATAAAGCCGCGTCGATTGTCACAGTCATATCCATCCCCTGGATTGCAACTCTGGCAAAGTAAGTACGTGCAGATGCTGTGTAACAGTCTTTTATATAAATGCATTTCTTGATTGAGTTTATTTTCCGAAACATCGATGAAATATCTCAGTATATATCACACTAACACAAAATCCACCTGGAGTATAGATCCTGATTCAGTTGTATTTCCAGTTTTCATTACATTGGCATTGACAAGTTTGAACTTACCGGTAGAAACTTTACAAACACTTTACCTCAGCATTTTGCTTTTATAACATTATCAGACTCACAATGGACAGTTTTTTTAAACGGATGAAAATTGATGCAGCTGAACCAGAGATATCGTCTTCTTTATTCCACACATTCCTCTTCCTCTCCCACCTACATTACCCATAATACAGCTCAACTACTGATAGTTTGGTCTTTTTAGTGAGCCAGATCATTTGACTCATCACTTAAATTATTCAAGTTAATTATACTGAACCTTATAATTTTCAGAATACCACAATTTTACATTGTGTTTGGTATAAAAATATCAAACATTATCAGGTATAGAACTTTTTAATTATATTGAACTATATCTTGTATGTTGGCGACCGGCAACCTTGGGTTTTATGGTAAGTGTCCACAGGGGCGTTTTTGGAAGCGAGGGGTCCCAGCATTGGATGCTTGTAGTCACAAAAGGCTACACCCTACTACAACTGCACAAACACTTTGCTGCACCTGACTGGACGATTGTTTTCTGCTCCAGGATTTCAAAACGGAAAACGTGGCGGCTCGTATGGAAACTTTCTCTCATTTTACAGATGTAGTTCACTGAAATGTGTTTCTGAAACCATTTCATGCCAGAAATGTGCGGTGCAGGTCTTAAATCTGTCCATATTTTCGGATTGAGTATGTGTAGTTTTTTTAGTTTGTTTTATGTGAGTTTCCAGAGGCAGGACACTCACAAAATAGCCTAGACCTCTACTTTATGCAAATAAGGAAACACACCGCGACGCTACTTGAATGCACTGCACAGCTGTTCACATAGACAATGAATAGAAACCGTGGATATGACTAATCCTATGGACACAAACCTTGAATGTTATTAGAAAGTGAGACATTTCTAGATTGTATACTAGGATTATCCAATTATTCTGTCTTGTATTCTTTTCTAAAATAAGGAAATCAGCTCCCATCATTTACTTAAACGACACATCACTAGTTAGAGATTCAGGGGTGTCATGCTAGTAACGGCTGATTTAGTCCCGGGCTCATAGCCTCAATTATTCAGAGCGAGCTACAGGGGTGAGTCTTCATTCCCAAGCAATGCTGATTTCACACAGCTCCCTCTGGAGTCACAACAGACTTTATAGAGTTGTTTTCATTTACGCAATAGTAAGTTATTCCCCACCTGTGAACAGACATTGATGTGTAAAATTGGTTCCCCTTTAAGGTTCTCTATATGAATATTGGTTTTAACCTTGTTTGTGTAATTTTAGGGTTTGTATATTTCACTTATTTGCTCCATTGTTTTGTTTTTTATTTCTCTACATTTGTAGACTACAGCAATATTGAATTTTTGGTATTACTTCTTTTTCTTTTAAGAAATTGACATTTTGCCTTATTTCTGAGCGTGATAAGAGAAGATGGATGTCCTGCCTACGACATAGCCTAGCATACAATATACTAGGGGTAATCAACCAGACTGGCTCTTTCTAGTGTTAAAAATATGCCTACTAACACCTCCAAAGCTCACAAATGTAAAAGCTGTAACTATTTCTTGGCAAACAACAGCGACTGTGCTGAGCTTTTTGTTGTCACAGTGAGTTGCCAGATTTCATTCCTGTACAGAAACTATAACCAAAACCTGTTCTCATCCACCATATCTGCCAACCTGCGTCTTAGCCGGGCACACACTGCACAGAAGTGGTGGGTGATGAACGGTTGATGGTCAAGAAGTTGTCACAACATGTGACTCCCCATTAATCGACAAATTGTTGTTTTTTACATTTATATTTATAAATAATACAAACTAAAATCTTTGGAGATGTTAGTCACAGAGGCATGCTAGCTTTATCCCTCTGATCCGGTCTTTACATTAAGCCTTGAACACACCATGTGATTTTCAGAATAGTCAGATCTGAGCAACTATCTGTCTTGTAATTGGGAGTCTTAAAGTTGTGGTTTTTACACTGAGTGACTGATCAGCAACAGAGGGTCACACACTACAATATCCTTCACTAGGAGGAATCCCAGAGACTGTCTGTTGTCCAAACTATGTTACATCAATAATTAATAACACCATCAATTACAAGCACATCATGTTTAAAAGGGAACAAAGGGCAACAATTAACAGCATACTGCTGTACAATAAGCCAGTAAGCAATAATTCCCCTGCTCAGACAACATCAATAGTTCATCAAACTAATAACCAACATCATTTAAAGTCAGACAACATTATCATACTTTAACAGTTACCTAGTGTTTCTGCAGTGGTGACATAATGTTAGAAATTATACATATTATCAGTTTGAATGCAACCAAAAGCTCCCTGCACCAAACTCCCTTTAAGAAATACTGCATTTGAACAATTCCTGATGTGTCCAACAACACATAACTCTACAGACACAAGCTAAAGGGAATCATATGTCGACAGTCTTCTTGTCAATGCGGCATCAAGCTAACTGCATCCTGATTGTAGCTCCATACTTCCTTTAAAGTGCCGATTTTAATCTTTCTATTTGAATGTCTCCTGTTGATAAATTACTCTATTCCAGTATTACAGTCATTTGATTATATAGCTCATATGTTTGTTTGCTTGACTTAAGGTATTACAGTAGTTGTCTTGGGTGGATGTGGCTGTGTGTTGTTGCTGTATTGTTGCAGCCTGTGGCTCAAGTATAAGTAAAGTTTTTTTTTTTTTAAATTGTGAATTTAATGCCTGATGAAGCTCTATGAATGAAACATTGTTTTCTCAAAAAATGTGCTGACACTGTGCTGACAGAAAGAAACTGAGTCAGAACTGAGCTATTGTAATTATCTTTTAACTTCAGTGTATTCAACATCATTTACTTCCTGCACTGCTTTGATTATGCTTGTCACTTCATGTAAATGCAGTCCGCTGTTTATTTTTCATTCTCGACAGTGTTCAATATGCAGCAGTGAGCTCATGTTTGCATGCGTGCCACCAGACGTCAATGCATTGACAAATTTTCACCAGGGCGGAGCGGCTTTGTACATTTTCAGGGATGTTTATATAATTCTGGCAGCATTTCAATGAAACTTGACACCTGAGGGATGAGCTCTCTTGAGCTGTAGGAGGGAGCCGGTAGTTAGTCAATCATGATGTTCAGTCCTGTTAAATGGCCAACTTCTCCATTTGTCTTCCAGGCCAATAAACTTAGAACCAAGACCCTGCACAACACACTCAACCCTGTCTGGAGCGAGACCCTGACCTACTACGGCATCACCGACGAGGATATGGTCCGCAAAACACTCAGGTACTCTCAACTCTGTTCCCCATGTGTGTCCAGGATGGAGAGAAGGACACAGAATGTAAGGAGAGGAGAGAGGGATGAAAATAATGATGTGGAAGGAGGAAAGGTGGAAGGAAGAGCAGAAAATGAAAGGAAATAATGAGAAAGGGAGCATAAATCGGCAAGAAAATGGAAAGAAAATAGAGAAAGAAATAAAAGCAATGGAAGGGAAGAAGGGCAGAAAGTAAATCAAAGGAACAAAAGGGGAGGAAGGAAGGAAAACGCAAGCAACAGAAGAGGAAGGGAAGGAAAGAATGTGGTTAAGGGGGTGATGCAAGAAAGTAAATGAGAGAAATGGTAGGGGTAGAAAGAAGTAAGGAAGGAAGGAAATTAAAGGAATAGAAAGGGAGGAAAAGAAGGAAATTAAAGCAACTTAAGAAGGAAATAAGAGATGGAAGGGTAGGAAAGAAAGGAAGGAAATAAGAGAAGGGAGGGGATGCAAGAAAGTAAATGAGAGGAATGGAAGGGGTAGAAAGAAGGAAGGAAGGAAGGAAATTAAAGGAATAGAAAGGGAGGAAAAGAAGGAAAGGAGTTTGCCTGCCATAGATGTGTTTTGGAAGGGTTTAGGGAGTGATGTTTTACAGTTTCTCTTCTTCCTGACTCTCGAGGTAAATCACTTTACTACTGCCTGTATTTGACACCAGCCATTTTAGCCAGAAATAATGCCGTTATTTTTCCTGTGTATTCCTTTTCACTACAATTTATGACGTGTGTTTGTGTGCCAGAGCGAACCCGAAGGTGTGATAGCCCCCGATCAGTTTAACAGCCGGGAAATCCTTTGTTTGTGAAATCTCCAAATAGCAATTTTGTTTAGGTGAGATAACTTCCTGTTTTGTTGGTTATTTGTGTTCCACTACGACACCTGAGAATAGACTAAAAGCTGCAACAGAAACGTGTACTTCCCATGATAAACATGACACCGTTATGCAATGGAAGTGTTTCTTCACTGTTCTTTGCTCCTTTATTTTTACCAAAGTGTTAACTCTGTGGTGAAAGTAGGTTATGTAATCATATGTGTAATACTTGTTGGTAGCTACAGCAGAGTATACTGTATATGCCAATGATAGGTGGGCCGTATAGTGGAGGATCTTAGTTTGCTTTAGTTTCCCCCCAAGCATCGAAGTGTGTGTGTGTGTGGGTGGGTGTGTGCCTGTACCTTTAGTTGTGACTTCCTGTGAGTGCCAGGGGCTCATAATAACACCAACAGCCTTGTATGTTTGTTGTATACAAAGAAAAACAAGCATTTTTAGGCAATGTCTGGTCCACCGTACAGGTTTGGACTGAAATATCTCAACAGCTATTGGATGGATTGTCATGAAATTTAGTCCTGATATTCGTGATCCCCAGAGGATGAACCCCACTGACGTTGGTAGTCCCCTTGCTCTAGCGCCACCATGAGGCTGACATTTTGCGTGAAATAAACTATCAGATTGATTGCCATGGAGTTAAGTTCACATCCACCTCTTAATGTATTATCATCATCTGGTCATCACTTAACATTTCATCTAGTGCTATTAGTACCTCACTTTATGACCAAATATGTGAAAAACTAATAACATTCCCATAATGTGCGTTTTCCACTGCATGGTATGGCATGACTCAACTCTACTCGTTCTTTAATGGTTTTCAGCTAAGGTTCCAAGAAAGCTGAGCTGATATTAAAAGATGACCTTAAAATACTGCAGAGCACTGATTGGTCCGAGTAGCGTAGTGAGCGTATCGTCGAGCGAGTGAGTGACAGTGAATGAGCTGAGCAGAGGGAAAGAGAGCAGTGGAGTTGTCAATCTGGCGGTAAATGTACAGTGTCAGTGATTAATGGCTGCAGTTTCTAAAGACCAAATTAGAGCTCCTGTGTGTTTTTTCCCAACTGCTGGAATAGCGATCAGCTCTGCCTATGTTGAAAATGTGATGTCACATCAGAGATAGCCTCTGTTCCACTAGCTTCTGTAGCTCATCTGGTTTGTTTGTTTTTTTGAAAAAAAATTCCTGGAGTTTACTTTATATATACTAAGATAAATCTGCATCCACTTCAGCACTAGAATTCACTGAAATTAAACAACGATTACTTTGAGAGCAAACTAGAGCCCCCATTAAACTTTCTGGCATGGGTGCCAACGTTATTGTCACTTTCATCAATATCCGTAATATTCATAAACAGTCTCTTCTAAGTCAACTTTTTTCAACTTTTTGGCTGCAATCTCTGCTATAACTAAAACTATGGTTCCCCCCCAAAAAACCTCAAACACTCCAATCTAGAGCCAGTTTCTTTATTCTTAAATTGGATCTTCATTAGCTTCTACAAAGTGGTCACTAGTCTTCCAATGTCCACTCAATAACAACAAAAACAAACTAGTAGTAGTAGTTCAATGGTAGCATGCAATGGCAGCAACAACTGTTTGTCCTTTCTGCGCTACTGTAAAAAACGAACAACCATGGCAGTTCAACATGGCGGACTCCATAGAAGAAGATCCTCTCCATCTGTAGATAAAAACAGCTCATTCTAATGTAACACAAACACAGATTTTTATTTTAAGGGAATTATAAACTAATGAAAATTATATTCAATTTCTGAAAATGGATCCTCTCAAATGTTACACAGTGGACCTTAAGATGTTATCCTTCAGTTATACAACACTGAACCTCTCGGCAATGATGCAAAACAACTGTGATCCATCCATTTAATGTTCAGTATATAGTGAACTATTGTATTATATAGGAAATAATGAATAAGGCACCACTTCTGTTAAGCCTCTTAGAAGCATTCATTGTGTTGCTGGTTGTTTTCAAGAAGCTGGCAAAACTGCATCCAATACATGATAAACTTTACTGGACTAATGGCTCAGGAATGTGCTCATCAAATCATCATAAGAAGTTTTCATCATTATATAATAAAAAGTTCATTGCATTACTTTGAATTATTTAAAATTTATTTATTAATTTTTAAAACCTCAGGTTACTTCTTTTTTAATAGTCATGTGCACTGTATCTCAGAGCTGGTGAAGCAATTATTGAGTCACTGTTGCCTTGCAACCTTATCAACACTTTGCAAATATATTTAATTTGTGTTGCAGAGCAGAAAAAAATATCACTGTATTGTTGCTGCACTAAGTACCATGTAAACAAAGAATGCCAGCAATATTGACAACTTCTCAGAGAAGTGATCTGATGGACACTTGTCTGCACACCTAACAGTGCCTTGATAAACCATTTTCCAGGAACAATACTGTGAGAAAGGGCTCCACATTCCCAGACAACACAGTTCATTTCTTTTTGTAAATTGAAAATTGAATTCAGCACCACCTGTCTGTGTAGCAGATAAGATATTTTATATCTCTGGAGTTTCATTGGGATTCTGATTGTGTCGCTTCCCCTACAATGTTAATATATATTACTCATGCCAATGGGTGCACAAAGGCTGCATGTTTTCCTCCACATGGCAGCTGATTATGCCGAGAAAAACACTTGAAACCGGCAGTATTCCGCTACATGAGCCTGATGCATGAGTGTGAATCATGTCCACGTCAGGAGAGTGAGTGCTTATATAGGGACTGCATATATTGAAGTTATAGAGCCATTGAGAGCAGCGTTGTCCCATACCAATAATTGACATTCATTATAAATTTAATGAAATGGCAGAGAGGAATATAGATCTCCAGTCTGGAAAGGCAACCTGAAGCTTGGTGTATATGTACGCCTTTGTCCTTGTGGATTTGAAATGAGAGCTGCCTTTCCGTTCGCCACCAATCAGTGTCTTTTGGAAGTAGTTATACTTTGTAATATAATTAATCTTCTTTTTTATTGACTGTAGAATACACTAGCAAACATACACTGATGTTTTGATAGGATGCATTGAAATGATGGTGTGTGTTGTATTTAAATAATACAAATAGGCAAACAAGCTGAATGTAGCATGTGCTGCGATGAATTCAAGCTGCACTAATTGAGTAAATAAGACGAGCACAGCAAGATATGTTCAAGTTAATGTCGTGATTTGGGTTTTGATGTGATCAGGAACGTCATCTTTCAATCATCTGAAGATCTTTCCCCTCTCATTTTAGAACATTTGAGTCTTTTGATCCATACATGTCTGAATGCTTCCTAAAGCATAATTATCCCATCATTTTCTGTCATGCTGATTGAGTCTGACAAAAATCTTATGAACCCCTTCACTGCAGAATGACTAGGGTTTTGTTTCAGCGCTATGAGGCCCACAGAGTCAGTGGGAGTAGCTTTAAGTGAAGATTTTGCTGAGAATTGAATCCCTGTGATGGAGGATGATGGGCTCCAGGTGGAAAATGACTGGTTTTATAGTCTTAAGCCTCTTCTCAGCAACGAAACCCTAACCTGAGCCCCACTTCATTCATGTCCTCCTCTGCCTGCTCTGTTCTTCTCCTATCAGGATTTCAGTGTGTGATGAGGACAAATTCCGCCACAACGAGTTCATCGGGGAAACGCGAATCCCGCTCAAGAAGCTGAAGCCCAACCAAATCAAAAACTTCAACAACTGCCTGGAAAAACAGTTACCTGTAAGTACAATGGGCCACACACACACACACACTTGTGTTTTAAGATGTTACAGTAAATGTGATTTTTGGGGTTGTTCTTGGGGATTGTGGTCAGACAAAGTTGTTATAATATGATTAACTTTGTGTCAGTTGTTACATTAAATCTAGTTTATTTTATCTTTGATACATGTTGTACAATACTATTCTATTCTATTACTATACTTTGCAATACAATACTTTTATTATACTGTACTATACAACTACTGTACTAATACTATTGTTACTATACAAATAAATTAAATAAATATTTTATTTTTACTAATATTTCATTGGCTAAAAGTTAGCCTGATGAGAGAATGTATAATGATGATTTTTCTGTTTATAGGTTTCACAGTCCTTATTGTTAATCTGCCAAAATACAGTACGGAGAGTAATTATGGAATTCTTAACAGATGTGGATCCCTAAGACTACATCTCACGAAATACATGTCTACAGCCTGATCTTTATCAATTTGGGGGTCCTTGACACCAAAACGCTTGAGAAATAATGCTCTACTAAACTTTGCTATAATATACTCTACCAGGGGGGGTCCTAAACCTTGTCATGTCAAGGAAGCCCACAATAGATGTACAGACCCCCAATTTGACAGGATTTAAGGTATCCCCTCTGAGTAATGGGTTAGTTACTAGAATAACTATAAATTACAATCAGAACGGGCAACGCTTTATTCTTCCTTGTTGTTCTAACTTCCAACAAAAGTTATACTGTTCTTCTTTATGCTGGCGACCCCCCACAACGAACTCCAGGACCCCTCTTTAAATCTACGTCCATCTTTAACGTGTTAGTTACATCTGAATGGTAATGTGCTAACTAGCTAGCAAATTTATTGTTATTAAATTGTTACCTGGCTAGTTAGCTAGTTTTGCTAACATTAGCTAACATCAGATTTGACTATATATATATATATAT